AACCCCAAAGCTAGGCGGCTGAAATTTTAGTAAAGTTTTGTCTGCCAACGTGTGACTCCGCAAATTTAAATTCAGCTTCCCGTACTTGCGGGTAACATGTACGGCCCCGTATAAGTTTTTATCAGGGAAAATTATTATCTCGGGAACCACGAAAGCTAGGAAGCTGGAATTTTATGGGCATGTTTCTTGCCCACTTGTGACCTAAAAAAAAGCTTAAACCTTCCTGTGCCCGCGGGTAACACGTACAGCTCCGTGAAATTTTTGGCGGGGAAAATTATTATCTCGGGGACCATAAGAGCTGTGAGGCTGAAATTTCAAGAGGATTTTTGGTACGTGCTGCCATTTATTTATTTTTTTTTCGGTTGTGTAGTCGTTGTTTTTCAGTATAAAAGCTCTCAAAGGTTCAAAACTGTTTTGAACACAGCTGCTGTAACAACCAGAAATTTGTAAATCGTGTAAGAACGCTCACTGTTTAATGCATACAGTCAGTAAGAAAGGCGGTCGGAGCGTCGCCGGATTAGCTCAGTGGTTAGAGCGTCTGTCTTGTAAACAGAAGGTCGCAGGTTCGATCCCTGCATTCGGCAATGTCTCTTTTGTGTTGCAAACAATTTGCTTCAGGTGGTGCAGCGTGATTACAAATTACGAAGTTACTCGTTAAACAGTGTCAGCTACCACTTTTTATGCGAGCAAAAAGAGGACGTGGATTATTCGATGATCGCCGAATTACAGGTATTTACCGTGGAATTGAGGCCTTCATGTAGTATTGTCTCAGTGGACCAAAAAGGAGCATATTTTGACACCGATCGCTCTAAAATACAACCTTCCGCTGTATTCGTGAGCGGTCGAAGCCGAAAAAAATTAAAATTGCTTTTGTTTTTAGCGACATTTTCGGGCATTTTTATCTTTTTATTGGTATAATTAGAAATTTCCCCATTCTGTTTATCCACTATTTAAAGTAGTTCTGCATTTTTGATTTTTTTCGATCCATTTGTCTCCTCCGCCCCTCTTATGGCAGATTTTGTTTTTCTTTTGTAAATACTTGCGTTTTTTGGCTTCTTTTTGTTTTAGTTTATTTTCTTGCTTTTCTGATTGAATTCTGTGCTTTCTCTTTCTACTTGATATGCATTCTTCTTTTAGTACAGGTGATTTTGGCATTCAGCCTGGGAGGAAGTTTGGGGTGATCACTTCTTCCTCCCTTCTAAGGGCGCACTCCTTTTTGTGTACTAAAAAACTTGCGAAAATTTATATTTTCAGAATGGAAATGCGTTGTCACGCCGTCGTTTAGCTGTTTACTGTATGAAAGACGCCTATTTGCCTCTTAGGCTATTACAGAAATTAATGTCTGTTATTAATTATATCGAAATGGCTCGAGTGACTGGTGTTCCTCTTGACTACTTGCTTTCAAGAGGCCAGCAAGTCAAGGTTTTGTCGCAGATCCTGCGAAAAGTGAGTTTTTTGCAAAATTGGTCTGGAAATAACTTTTTTTTCTTTGAAATTTTTCCCAGATATTCCTAGATTTGCATTTTTGTGCGGTCAGGTTGTAAAAGTTCACTTATTTATGCAAGATTATAATTTTTGCAGGCGAAATCACTTAACTTTTTTCTACCAGTAATCGATGCTGTTCAAGCAGAAGAAACTTACGAAGGTGCTACAGTAATTGAACCAATTCGCGGTTTTTACAATGTTCCAATTGCGACTCTCGATTTTGCCTCACTGTATCCATCAATTATG